AACCAAAATTATTGTTTAATCTCATCTGTGAAAGGTAATCCCACTTGATCTGGTTTTCATCCTGCCTCAGTTATTGTGCAGAACAAAACTCGGACATTGTTTCTCCTCACCCTTGGATTTAGACCTTACCAACATGGCGGCAACGCTGGTTACGGCCCAGCACGTGATGACGCATCTTGTTATGTTTTGTCTTTGATTTCACTGAGACACGCCCCTTCAAACTGTCCACCAATCAGAATTCACGCCCAAAAGCCCATAAATAGACCTGTCTCCGCTGTAGTTTCACACTCGAGTCCAGAATCTCAGGACGGGAACTTTGGTACCGTGGACCCTTCAGAGGTTTTACAGCAGACTGTTAGAGAGACTTCAGCTTCTTCAGAGTTCTGGACGGAACCGGATGACAGCGGGGTGGTTCTTCCGGCCGAGTGTGAGGGGACACAGCTGAAGAGGATTTGAAGTTTCAGTTTTCATGAAACTCGACGGTAAGTGAAAGTTTTACCGAGTTTAGACGATAAAAAACGGAAACATGGGCGACGGAAGGAGCTTTGGCGTTAAGGAAACCTGAAAAAGTGAAAAATTTCGCGCTAATCTGTCGGTTTTCTAGTTTGACTTCACTGAATCCGTGAACGTTTGTCCGTTTTTACCGCTGGGACTCCGTTTTTTTTAACATGGCTGACACTGAATTATCGCCAAAGTTCTTCCTGTTTGCTGTTTTTTTCTAACATCAGTTATAAACTATTAAAATAACCAAACTGAGAAAGTTCAGGTTTATAACTCAGAGGAGAGTCAGATCAGAGTTTTAGTGTCTGCAGCTGCTATAGAGAGAAAAACACAAATGTGATGAAAAAGTAAGACAAGAAAATTACGTCCAAAATAAAGAAAATTTCCCTTTAGTGAATTTATAAGGGAAGCTTAATTCTCAGTAAATATAAAATATATAAGTTTAAATAAAATAGAAGGAAAATCTGCACAATTTTACATGTTTATGAACTTTTATTATAAAAGAGAATTCAGAGATGGACCTTTTCTGCCAAACTTACTTTTTGATAAAGTTAGGAGGTCCAAAATAAATCCAATCCACGTTATTTATTTAACACATTTTAACAAACACCAATGCTAACATTAGTGCTGCGCAATAAGAAAAAAACAAAGCAATAAATAAAACACATGAACAAGAAAAAAGTCAGCATAAAACTTTAGCGACCACAAAAACATCCTGCTGTTTAAAAAGTCAAAGGATAAAAATCTGTTTTTAGTTTGTTTCACAGTCTCCGGGACCACATGAAATCTGGAGATCTGAAAACCTTTAAGGGCTGTAGACATGGAGGGGTCAGAGATTCACTGTGGTGCCAATGATTTAAAAACAAACTTTAAAACCTTTTAAAGGAATCACATGTACATTTCCTGTAAACATACATTGAACAGGCTTCAGTCATACAGATGCTCTCTGTGGGCGAACATCGAACATGTCCTCATAAGAAAGTCATACTCTGCATAGTATCCAGCAAGAATACCCCAGAAGTTCAGGAGAGAGACCCTCGGCCTTATAACAACATATTACATGAATTTAGAATAGCTAGGCACAGATTGTCCAAGAGAAGATCCAGAACTTCATCAAAAAATGATTCCACAAGAGCCAGAAGAGGGCGCCAAATGAACACAATCCAAAACTTCCTCACAGGAACTAAAATTCTTTAATGTCATCTTTCAAACTCTGTTTCTCTCTTTAGGAATAATTATCTTTTCTGTAAGGGAATGGATTTGAAAAAAAGGAAATGCATTCAAGAGTAAACAATAATCTTATTTTGTAAGCCCATTAAGATATTGCCGTGAAGAATATTTAGTACTGGAACTAGACTGGAGGGAAAATGGATGGAAGGAATTTTTGTCAGGTTTATAGTAGCAGTACTGTACAAACTACGACTCATGTTAAAACACCTATCAGATTATTATTTTCTCATTCCAGATATCTGTCATTATATTTTCTGTCATGCTGATGAGGGTACAGTAAATACAGATCATCCAATCACCCCAAGTTCAAAAAAGCAGCTGAAAGAACGTATTAAAAGAAATATCATCGAGTTACCGGTTTAAAGTGATAGATACTCTTAATCGTCTACATAAGGAACTGAGGCAGGTGACTGACAGACTACTGAGATTCAGTTAACTGTTCCAAAACACGTTAATGAGTAACTTTTAATCCAAAGACTAAAGACTTGGTGACTGATGCTTTGACTGACATTACTGGTGAAAGGTCATGATTTATAGTCCTTTTTGATCTTGTTTATGGCACAGGCAAGTGCCACCCATCATGCACTATGTTTTAAGTTAAGTAAAAGATTATTTGCTCATAAGTTGATATAACAAAAATTAAGTCGAATTGTGATCAGCCACTTCCATTCGTGTTTCCAAATGTGAGGCTTGAAAGTGGGGCTGATCAGTCGCAGTCATGATTCCCTCTTAGCGTTGTCAGGGTGACCAAGTAAAACACCACAGAGTCTTTGGGAAAACTGCCAGTACGGCTCAGGTGTAGCTTAAATAACTACACCTCACTGGCAGAGTTCATCTCTTGCAGCACAGATAAACCCTTGTTAAACCCCCATTATCACTGTAGCATTACTTGTAGTACATTAGGATAAATTGTACTTATTAAGATCTAGCTCCAGCATCACAGACAGACGTTTGTATTTAACTTTAGTTTTTTTGCTGTGAAAATACTCTGACTTTGATTCGATACCAGCATCTAGTGCCTCAAAACCTTTGAAGGAAAAACTGACGTTGGCGTGCTCATTTCCCAATTTGGAAAAAGGTCTGTATGGCTAATTGATACTGAAACCAGCAAATTGCTAATTTTTGTTTTTGTTTTCTAGATGCAAGGGCCTGTGACTGAAGTCAGCTGTACCATTGAACCAATCTGCAAATGGAACACAAAACATGGTAGAAACTCTGTATCCTCAACAGCTCAGACCGGCACATACTCAATCCCAGTGGCAGAAAGGCAATACACAACCAAAAAAAAAACATCCACAGACTACTCCACCAAACTGAGACACAGCCAGGCACAGTCACAGCCCAGCTGGTGTCTGTGCTGCAGCACTTAAGGTTGCTAGCCTTGGAATTACAATTAAGACCTTTTCTTTTCAGGATCTGTGTCTTTTTAACCTGGAACAAACAGAGCACATCTCCCCCACAGTTGCAAGTCTTTCAGGAGGAAAGTATTTCCTGATCAAAAGTTTGTGCTTCCCACCCACTGTTTTTTTTGTTTTGTTTTGTTTTTTGTTTTTTTTTTGCACAAAATTGTTGCCAACCTCAAGGTAAAACCAAGTTGAAATATCTGAGGTAAAAGACAATAGGACTACAAGTTAAAACTTCACCAGCTCCTTATAGTGTCAAAGGGACTAAGATGCAAAACACAACTCACTTTCTGAGCTGTACACCAGTGGAAGATGAAGTGTCACCAGCTGAAGATACAGGAGCTTTTGCCCAAAATTTGTTAGCCTTTATTTCTGAAAAAATAGTGCAGTACCAGAAAGCCAGGGCTCTCAAGAACACTGAAGAAACTTCCTCCAACATTGTTGCTGACCCTCCTAGTCTGGTGACTGCACCAGCAGTTGAGGAGCACAACTCAAAGGCTAGCAAAGGAGCAGCTGATCCAACCTCCGGTGACTGTGCCACATCTGCACCAGAGAAGTATTCAACAGGTACGATAGTCTCTGCTGTTAAAAGGACAAAACATTTTCCCAAAACTGAATCTGTTGTAAGTTAATCAGTTTGTAATTGATTAACAACTTTAAAAAAAAGAAATAATCAATGTAAAGTGTAACTTCAAAAACAGTGACTATAGAACATCCATTGAAATGAGAAAGTTAGTTTTAAAGCGATGTGATAGGTTCTTGAACAATGATAATATTGGTCTTTGGAAGTCAGATTTTGCTTTAAATAAGCAGATTGCTTGTTTGGAGAATGTAAGGACCAGAATAGTGATGAATAACTTCTGCAGTTGTTTGATGAAAAACAAATAACCTGCATCTCTTTATATCAACAGAATGTCCACATATTATAAGGGAAGTTGCCATTTGCAGAGAGGATGAAGATGAGAGCCCTGGTCCTGTGACTACAGTACCAAGGCTGATCTCAGGTGAACTGACAGAGAAGCATCACAGTTCAACATCTGACTGTTGCCCTCCTCAGGGAGAGAGCAGACTTCACTTGTTTGACCAACTATCTGGCGTGTCTACGACTCCTAAACAAATAATTGAGGAGGATCAACTGGTAAGAGGCACACAGTCCCTGAAGGGCGTAAGGCTCATTCATGTACATGGTGACGCTCTCCAAACGGATCTATTACCTGAGAAAACATCTGAACCTCTGTCACATGATGCTCTAAATTTACCAATTGACAAAACTCAGATTCATGCTGATCTGTTGGTTCCCAGTCAAAATGAATGGCTTGGAAACAAAGTCCATGAACAAACTGGCCAACGAGCACACTGGGAAGCATTTGTCAAGCCAACTGTAAATAGCTCAGACCATGACGGCCTCTTGGATGATTGTCAGTTTGAAGGAGTGAGTAAGGAAGCCTCAGCTGTAAAACCTATGTATGAAGATATTTCAGATGGAGATCAGTCAGATGGTGTTGGGGTTGAATCGTTAAATATGAAACTTGTGAAAAATCCAGAATATGAGGACATTTCGGAGAATGAAGACACGTCAGAGCCAGCCACAAAACTCCCCAATGGACACTTGGGGGACTTGAGCCTTCCACCAAGGGTTGAAGACCCTCAGTCTGAAAGCCAAAAGTCTGATAATATGGAAGTGGGAAGGCCTTATCCTTTGTTCCGTTCACAAGAAACCCAAACAAACAATGAGCAAATGCTTTTCAACAACAAAGGCCCTGCACATCTGCAGAGTGAACTTCAGCTAAAAGAAGAAAACCTTCAAGAAAAACTGATTCAGAACCCAGCTTCACCCAAGAGTGTATCATCTGATATAGAACGTCATTGCTCCCAGTTATTCTGTGATGAATCGTGTGATAGAAACCTTTCTGTCTTACAGAGTTCTGCTCGTTTTGAAAATGAGGAGTCGGATGATCAGACTGATGATGACTGGATAGTCATACCTATAATACTGTCTGACCTCAGATTTGAATCAGACAGTGAAGACCAGAAAGGTTCAGAAAAAGTCCTGCTTAAAGAAAGCAACACTTATCAAACCTATTGGCAAGGTCCAACACCACTAACAACTTGTGCATCATCTGAGATAGAGGTTTTTGAAACACTCGATAGCTTTGTGAAAGCCACAGATGTACAAATAATAGACAAGTTTGAGGTGGCATCGTCCTGTAGCACACCTGACCATGAAGTGGACTATGATGGAGAACCTGGTGTGGCTCAGAAATGTAGGAGGCAGTATTCTGAATCTGAGGACACTGAAGACAGCTGTGATTATCCGTCTGAATCAAAACTCAACCACATAACAGCCTCCAGGCAACTTTTGGAGCAAATGCCAGAACCTCTGACCCCAGCAACAAAGGTTGATGTGTTAGAAACTGAGGGAAAACATGGTAAAGTTAGAAATGTGCAAAGAAGTCAAACCAGCAGAAGATTTAATGAGATGAGAGAAAAACTAAGAAAAATAATTCAAGCCAAGGTTGACTGTGGCCAGCTGAAGGTCAAGAGAAAGATTACTGTGAATAATTCTGATCAATCATCCTCTGATTCTGAGCCTGACAGTGAAGGAGTGAAAAGGGGGGTACGTTGTGCAAAAAAGAAAAGGAGATTCCCCTTAAACTCAGAGACCAGTGAAGATTCCTCAAATGGTCAACATGGGAACGATTCAAGTGAAAAAAAGAGACACAAGTTTCAGAGCAACAGTTTGTCATCTGTAACCCTTCAAGCATCGCAAGGCCAGTCTAATCTTTGTGATGGTGGAGCGAAGTGTGGACAAAACAATGCTGAACCTGAGTCTGTTCAACGTCAGACAGAAAAACACGATACGTTTAACAGCGGTGAAATATTTCTTGGATCTGAATCGGAGGATAAAAAGTTCCAGAAATGCAAACAGAAAGCAAGAAGGAGATGTTCCAAGGACAGAGGAGATCCCATGTTCATTGCCAAAGTAGCACAACAGAGCCAGTCTGAGCTTGGTGATAAAAAGGTGAAAGAAAACGATCTTTGTTCTGACCAGCAGATGGAAAGTAAATCTGATCCTGATTCTGTCAGATGTGTGACAGACAGAGACAGCGGTCCAATCATTATTGATTCTGACTTGGAGGATGAAAGTAGTCAAAATCACAACACAAAGGCTGAGAGGAGGAGGTTGTCTTCCCCTGACGTTGAGTCTTCTACACACAAGGCAGTTTTGCAGAAGATTTCAACCTCAAGAGATGTGATAGTCCTGTCATCTGCTTCAGATAGTGACGATGAGCAATACCAGAAGAGATCATCCACTTTAGGGTTAGCAGGCTGTCTTGACAACACACAACCAATGACACAGTCACCAGAACCTTTTGACACTGAGTTTGAAACTGCCCAAGAAAAACCCTGTGAAACCAGACTACCTTCTGCTGGCCCAATACAGCCAGAAACCGTTCCAGAGGAGCCCTCAGCATCACCAAAGTCTGATCAAGAGGTTGGGAAAAACCAACGATCCAAAAAAGCAGCAAATGAAAGGGAAATTATCTCAACCAGTACAGAAGACAGCAGTGATGATACCTTTTCTGGCACAGGAGATGGACCTCCTGCTGAGCCTGTAGATTTTGTAGGTGCAACAGCAAACAGGAAGCCTGAAAATGATAGATTGTCATCGGAGTCCCCTTCAAAAAGACAGCACCGGTCTATGGACAGGGGGGCCGACCCTGTTTCTGTGATTCCTCGTCTTTTTGTTTCTAACCTTAATCAACAAAACTGTCGCTTGAAACTTGAGAGTCAAGCTCAAATACAGGCTCATGAGAACCCGGCAGCAAGCAGTAAAGTGGACAAAAGCAGCACGGTTCAGAATACAGTTGCAAAACCTTCACGGGTTTCAAGACAACTTTCTCTGCCTAACCATACAGGCCTGTCAGACAACTACAGTAGCTTGTCTTCAACAAATGGACCACTGACTGAAGTGAGTCAAAGCTCAGTCCCCTCAAAAGGTCTGCCTTTGGCTGGTGTATCTAAAGAAGTCTCAACTGCTGGCAATCTTCCTAGATCCAGGCATAGCTCATCCCCAAATAGACAATATTTGGCTTGCTCTAAAGTTCAGCGGTCCCTCTCTTACAACAACCCTCCAACATCAAATCAGCTTTACAGTCCTTCAGAAGGTTCATCATATTCAAACCCACAATTAGCAAGAACCAGATTGTTTGATGACTGGAAGAATAGTTTCCCAAATAAGGGGGAAAGAAGAAGAAGGAGATCAAGGATGGACGACAGTCTCAGAACCACACATCCTTACTTGTCTGGCCAAGTCAGACCAGGACCCAGTCATTCTGACTCAGCAAGGGAAGTGAGACCAGAACCTAGTTGTAGAGATCATTTGGGAGAAGCCAGACCTGGATCTAGTTTCTGTCATTCAGTGAAGGAAGTCAGACCAGAAAGGATACCCAGGAGGAGCCACAAGTCCTTTGAGGTTACAGCCCCACTAATGAAGAAGACCATTGGTGACTACAAGCAGTTGCCGAAGGCCACAAGTAGGGATCCTGCAAGGAAACAACGTGTGTTCTTTAACATTCTCTAGAGTGTAGTAATAAATACATATTATGTCTGTATTCTAAATACATAATGCTAACCATCCTTGTTACCATAGGTTACCCTGTGGGTGAAAATTACAAGTGGAGAAAATCGAAGAAAGGTGATAACACGTTAACATGAAGTCATTGTTTTTAAAACTGATAGAAGCTCTATGCACTTGCTGTTTTCTGATGTCCTAAGTACAAGTGTAACCCTGTTTTTTCTTGCTCACTGCTCTTTGGCTGTAGGACCCATCAAGAGGGGTATGCAGTGTTGAACTCCTCCAGGGCTTCATACTTAAGAAAAAGAAGCATTTGTCCTCGAATCAACTCCGTTTTAATCCCACAGTGATTGATGGGCGGAAACTTCAGTTTCTGTTGTGAACAGTTCATTATCATTTAGTGGCATATGTTATATCTTTATTGAAGAACGAGTGCATTTTAACTGAATGTCTGTGCAAATGAGCTTGCTCTGAATATGTGTGTTTTTTTTATTGATTTGAAGTGAAAGTATTTTTTTACCTGCTACCTCAGTTTATATATTGTAGCACTACGTTGTTGTTGTTGTTGTTGTTTATTTGCATTTAATGCTGTTCAGATATGAAACAGTCAAGTTCAGGGATTTTTTTTCCCCTTGTTCTTTGTATCACATATGTTAAATGTTTTTGTACGACAAAAAGCAATGGTTGCTATGTTCCAAAATGTTAAACTTGTTTCAAAATGTTAACAATGAAATACTAAAAAAAGAAAGCATCAATACATTGCTGTTTGCCTGTCATGTTTTAAGATCAAGCTGTTTCTAATGACAATAGAGAAAATGCAAAGTGATTGTAGGATGAGTGATTTTTATAGCCAATTTTTAATGATTTTACATGACAAACAAACAGCATTGACAATAGATTCAATGCAGTAACAATTGACTCAAATCCTTGTGATTTTCACAAACGACACTACAAAAGTGCCTTGCAGGTCAGAAAAGACGAGGCATTTCTTGGAGATGCACAAACACATTTTGGAACATGCCGCAGGGTTGGACCTTCATTATACTGACACATTCTGCAGATGCTTTGTTTGATTGAGATCTGGGAATTCGGGGGCCTTTTCCCTTTTTCCATTATTTTGTGGTTCAGTGCTGACATGCACTTGCCCATTGTTGATGGTTTCAGTTGTGGGCAGGGACCAAGAAAGATGTCTGGTCTTGCCTGTGGGTGACATTAGTGAGCCTTGGATGCACGTGACTCTGTTGCTGGTTTGACAGATTTCCATCCTTGGACCACTTTTAATAGGTACTGACCACCACAAACCTGGAATACCCCACAAGAGCTGCAATTTTAGTAAAGAAGCTGAATGTAAACTTGAGTGCAGACGTGATATGTGGAGACGTTGGTGCTTGTAGCGAATGGATCCAGTGCGCAAAGACCGTAACACCACAACCTCAGTGTGGCGTTTGAAGGTTTTCTCAAGTAAACCATTGTAAAGGGGGCTACTGACCATGTCTCTATTTTTTGATAGAGATGACAGGTTGAAGCAGTCCTCAGGGAAGGTCAGCTCAGCCCTGATCCTCTAAATTATTCTAAGTTTTGAGTCTTGAGGAAAAAACTGCAGATTTAAACCAACAGATGAGTCTGTCAAATCTCTTCCTTTAAAACACGTTTTGGTAGGCATACACTGACTCCTGGGAACCATGAGCGAGCCCCTTCTTCTTTATGCAAGATATGAACTCTGTTTTTAATGGAGTCATCCTGAGTTCCTCGGTGTAAAGACTCCTCCCTAATGTGCTCACAATATTAGGCCTTTTAAAAAGTGGTCTCTCAAAAAATGCTCAGTCATAAACTTATTATGGCCCTCATAATAAGGGCCTCCTCTCTAAATACACAGCTCTACTGTTTTGATATCATATGGATTCATACAGAGGTGTCTTTGGAAACTCAGCTTCATGGTTTTAATACATGTTAATCATCTTGTACTCAGTACATACTAGTCCTCTGGCTACTTGGTCACACACCCACTTCTTCTCTGTGGACAACAGTGATTCTATGTTACAATTTTGACAATGGCTGAAAAACAAAGGAGTCTATTCCTGGAAAACGCTTCAACTGTGCCGTCTACTGACAGCATAAAACCTGTGATGGCCACACAAAAACAGTCTGCGCCCTAATGTAGTGGATCAGATTTACCATCTCAACAAAACCGTACAGCAGAGGTAGTCTACAAAGAACGTCTTACATGGTCTTCTCATAAGGTCATGGTCTTTGGAGAAAACAAGGTCCCACCCATCCAAACTAAAGTAAAGGGGCTGGTCTCCCAGCATTTAATGACGTAATAATTAGAGAACACAAAACTGTGCACTCTTTCTTTAGACCTTAATGAGGCAGAAAACATCAAGTTAGAGCTGGTTACCACAAAGGGAATGAAAGATATGGGAAGGACTCCAGCAGTTGGATCCACACTGGAGGACCTGGAGCTGAGGAAGAAGGAGCTGACAGGATGAAACGGTGGAGAAGAGGCTACAACAGGATTCTCAGAACAGATTCCTGACTGTTCAAGGCCAGTTCATGACCCACCACTGGACTGAAAAACAGTTTAACTGTTGAGAAAAGGTTTTTGGACATTCAACCCACACAGAGTACCACTTCTGTAAATACTTTTTCCAAACATATCTGACATTTTTTGGTCATGATTGCACTCTTTGTAATTTACCATATTGTTGTTTTTTTTCATTCCAAGTTCAATCAGCTGATTATTTTTTTGTATCATTTTTTTAAATGTGTGAATCACTCAGAAGAGAAAAATGTACTGTGATTTATTTATGTTTACCCTGCATACCTTTCACCTGACCTTCAGAACTGAAGCCCAAAGAAGCTGTTTGCAGGTCCAGGATCAGGTCCAGGATCAGGATCAGGATCAGGATCAGGTATGTTTGTATTGGAAACATGAATGCAACTTTTGAGAAAATGGCAGAGGTGGATTTAGGTTTGTATGAGGTCTGACGCTAATCTGTATGGCAAAACACACACACGCACGCACACACACACACACACACACACACACAAAAGGACGCTCTTCTTCTCTGCAGGGCAAGGCGCAGGCATGTAGGTGACTTTCCCGCCACTGCTGCCTCTCTGTTGGTCTCTGGTACTGCAGACTGGTGACATGGCGCACTCAGAGAAAGTGAATGGACATAAACTGCGTTAATGTTGTTTTGCCCCGGCAGTAGAACATTCAGGGCTGAGCCCAGTTAGCCACCCCCTAACTCTGCCTGTGGTGAGCGGTATGACAGACGAATGACAATACGACAATCAGTGATAATTCACTTACTGGAAAGTGGCTGAAATAATGATGCAGAAATGCTCGTATCACTAGAAAGCGTGGTGTCAGGATGTTTCTTCCCTTTACATCACCAGTCTAATTTGTAATATCTACCTGGGACTTCAGCCTGTGGTGGAAAAGCGACCGACAACAAAAGGCCACAGGAACTATTTCACTCCTCCGATAAATCTCCCTAGAATTCAAAGTTTCTAGAATCCTTAGTTGAAAAGCATCTAAAATACACAAAGACAGCTGTGTCCACAGGGGGCGCCAAACATGATTTAAACCAAGAATTCCTTACAGAAGCTTTAACTGTTTAGAAGTTGTTGCACAAGCGAATTAGAGAAGCTCGGATACAGATTATAGAAATAATCTTTATCAGAAACACACGAGTGAATTTGTATGACTCTGATACTGAACATCATCTGTGATCTAAAAAAACTGCCCCGGACATTCGAGTGTTTGTTTCACTCACCGTATCAGACGGCTGAATTTCTTCTATTCTGACACATTTCCCTGATTATAGCGCTGCATAACCTTTGCTCTGATCTGTATCCTGTTGTTTTCTGAGCTAGATGAGATCATGTTTTTCAGGCAGGATAAATTCACTTCTCGTTAGTTTCCTGGTTTTGTTTTATCAAAAGGGAAACAACTGAAGCAGCTGCACATTCCTCAGCCTCTGCTGAGTGACTGATGAACTCTCATGAACCCTCCATGGTCACTAAATACGGTGATTATCTGTGACATGATTACTCATAAAGGGAGTGAATGTCACAAAGTGTTTAAACATTCCAACCCATGAATCGTGTCAAAGGTTTGAGTGTGAAAAGAGATGGAAGGTCCACACAGATAAAAGTCGGATCAACTTTAGAGTTTACAGATCTGAGTTAAATCTGAGCGATCTGTGGTGAAACCAGAGGAGACCGAGTTTCTGTTTCCTCAGGATGTTCCCAGAGAGTGTCGGGGAAGTCTTTCCGGTGTCTGTCTGTCCCTCTCCTGTGTCCTGTGATAAACTGTGCCAATCACAGTTGGCACCTCTGTATTCACAGTGAGTCCAGTTGTCATGGAAACAGGATGTTAGAAGAAGTTTGTGTATGATGTGAAAGCACGTCTAAAAGCGAAGAACGAGGCAGAGGAGGCACTGCCCCCTCCAGACTAAGAAGGAAATATGTAGATTTTATGTTGTCAGTTTATTCCTGTTTTTGTACAGGGCTTTAAGCATCGCAGGAACAGTAAATACGACATGAGCTGCATGTGTACGGGGAAGCCATCTTGGTGGGGGCATCATTCCCATTAAAGGAAATACATGTTCATAAAAAAAAAAACAGTCATATCTTCATTTCTCCACTGATTTTTATGTGGTTTACTTCATTGTCAACGCTTAAATATATGGAATTAATGCTTTAGATTTTAAAAAGTTTAATCAAATGTTGTGTATTATGATGTGGATCAGATATATAGATTTCTACACATAATAGAGGGAGTTGATATATGTACACAGCAGAGTGTATTTAAGCAAATCAGGTTGGGGAACCCGTGTATTAATATCATTTTCTTTTTTATCTTCTAAAGAAAGAACATTATTTTTTTTTGGTCTTGAAAAATAACATACATATTCACCAATGGAGACATTTTTTCACCCCTATTGATTAAAAAAACAGATTAGATAAGTTTCCCTAAATGTATGGATGATTTTCTTCAGCCAGTCATGTCAGCCTTTACGGTGGTGGAGCTCAGATACCTCAGATCTTTTGGTGCTAGATTCCTGACGCCATGAGCCTCTGAAAATCCTCCTAAACCAGGACCTTCAACACCCGGCTACCATCACTCAGGTTCCCAAAATATGTCGTGATTTGTTATTCGCCTACATGGACTCTCTAAACTGTCAACAGGATGAAAGCAGAATGTCTAAAGATGTGGACGGCTTTATAAACCAGAACCCTCTCAGACCAGTCTGTGTGACACCCAGATCTGCAACCAGTAAACCCAGTCTAACTGGTCACTGGTGTGGACCTCACACTAAATAAACTATTTTTGTTCATTGTGTTCTCTGTTTGTTTTTTAGTGACATTAAACAAACGCACCTGAAGTTAAAGTACGAGTTTGTCGTTTTGTTGTAGTACTATTTTAAAACACTAGATGGGGCCCCTGATCCTCAAACAGCAACTAATATTTTAACAGAGTTGTAAAATATTGGATTTTATACCCTACATAAAAATAGTTTGTGTACTTTAAGGTTTAATGTAGAGTTTTGATTCTTAAACCTTTTTTTTATATAGTTTTATGATGCAGTTTAAGGCAGGAACTAGACTGTAATCTTGTTTTTAATGTTTTACTAAATTATTTAATGTGTCTATCAAACATGAAAGATAAAAAATAATAAAATAGAATTGCAGGCATTATTTGAGCTTGATAATAATAAGAAGCAATGATAATAAAACCAGATAAATATAAAGTACATTAATCTATGGGAGCCTGTAAAGGACATGTAACCATACAGTTCAGTTCATTGTTTGGTATTAAGTTGATTTCTGAACATTTTAACCTTTTTTTCTATTTTTCTAGGGATTATAAAGTTTGTTTTTAGAACAGCTAAAATGATTTATTATTATGAGGAAAGCAGACTTTAAAAATGTCTTTCTGTCTTTTTAGTCTAAAAACATGATTCTGTTTTAAAACTTTATTATTTATGAGCTTTCAGTCAAAAATGAGGTTAAAAGTCAGTCCTGAAATAATATTAAAAAATAAAAAAGTGTTATTGTAATTTATCAAACTCACACACACACACACACACACACACACACACACACACACACACACACACACACACACAGATTTGAATATCCCGCCCCTCCAGGAGAAGAGGCGGAGACTCGCCTCTCTCTCCCCGCAGAAGGCAGCAGAGTGTCGGTCAGATCCGCGGACACTCTCCGCTGAAACCGAACAAACAACTTCGGACCAACTCGACGCTTTTCTTCACAGTCAGGACCCGAGAAAGGAGCTTTTATCCCCGCCGAGCCTTGAACCCACCCCCTTTGTTTCCTGGAGATGTTTTCCCCGGTGGACTGAGGAGCGGGCAGCGCCGCACACCGAAGCCGGGATGAGTGGGAGCTCCGCGGGGTCCGGCGCGGCGCCCTGCCGCCTGGTCCACTACTTTGTTATCTGTGGGATAGACACTGAAACTGGACTGGAACCGGATCAACTTGCAGGTAGGACCTGTTTTTTCTGTGGTATATGGTTTAAGATGTGTCCATGGAGAGAGAGAGAGATAAAACGGCCCTCCAGCTGATTTCAGACGATATTGACAAACATGATTATCGATTAGTCAGCCATTTTTGTTCATCAAACAACAAACCATCCAAAAGTTATCTCAGGGCTCTTGACTCTCAAAGCAGGAGGAGATTTTTCTGCATTTCTGACAGAGATCCGACATAAATCCACCATGAACATGACAAACTGATCAGGCAGAGACCCTCAGCAGACCCAGACTCAGAGGTGGACCTCCATCTGCCAGGAGCACAGAAGTGATGCCAAAAACAAACTGAGAGTAAATGTTAAAAACATGAGACAAAGACAGCAGGCTCAGAGATGAAACTGTTCTGACGCTGAAGTTTCAGCAGTTTTTCACTGAATCGAGAGTTTGATGAGATCTTTTCTGATTTTGTTATCAGATCGAAGCTTCCTGTCCTCTGCTGTTCTGCTCACAAAACCTGTAAAAGTGAAACTATTCAGCAGAAATATTCACAGAGTTTTCTGTCACATGCAGAGCTGCAGCTTTGATGCAGAAAATCTGAATAATTGATCAATAATTTTGGTGTTTTTCAGCTGAAACTGTCGCTCTCAGCACTAAGATGAAGATTTGAGTTTAACACATCAGCTCTATTTTCGTTCCTTTTCTCCTCTTTTACTCTAAAGTGACTTTGTTTCCTGTCGTCCTCCTCAGTTTTCTGTGTTTTTAACTATAATCCAGATTTATTAATCATGAAGTTTGACCAAACTTGGAAATAAGGAGGAATGAAATAGTTGCTCATCCTTCTGCCCAACGTCTCGCTCTTTCGGCGTCCCTTGTGGTCGATTTTTCCTTTTTGTTTCAAAAGTTCCTCACAGAAGTTCTGGACCGCTGTCTTTGGTTCAGAAACTGTTTGGACCGGTTCCTGATACTTCTCCTTTCTTCTTCTTTTGTACTAAAGTGGAAGTGAGACGCTCAGTTTTTACATTTTACAGCTCGATCAGGTAAAAATCATGAGGAATTATGACAACGAACCAACATCCAGAATAATCTCAGGTCTCATCCCGGCTTCATGAGGGGTTGTAAACATGTTCACTGTCTCTCACATCTGCTCTGGGCCCTCTTTGACTCAGTACTGGTACTCAGAGTTCCTGGTCCAGGTCCTGAATTCTGGGCTTAGTTCACGGCTGAAAATCCCGAGTTCTGCAGGTTTGTCTGTAGACCGGTCTCTGGGATTGCTCCTGGTCTTGGATTGGTACCTGGACCTTCTTCCTCCTCCTGGTGAACCTGTTGTCGTGGTTCCTGCAGGAACCTTTTCTCTTTGTTTCTGTTCAGTTTGATCTGTGGAGGTTATTTATCGTTCTTTCTGAGGTGTTGCATCACGGCGTCTGTCGGTGTAAAGTCAGTCTCTGGGACAAAGTTCAGGAACACGAAGTCTGAGTGTGAGATCGAGTTCGTTCACCTGAAATCAAACGTTAAAGACGCAAAATAATCCGACTTTTCATGGCGACGTTTCGGTTCGATTAGATGACGATCGTTTGTTCTGGTTGGGAGGATTGCATGTGTTTATGTTTTTGCACCCATGTGTGTGTGTGTGTGTGTGTGTGTGAGCTTGTTGTGTATTTCCAGGCTGCAGAGACTCTCTGAGGTGACTCCGATAATCTTCGACTGTCCTGAGTCCATCTGCCTCTGCTCACACCTTAACCTGCTGAGCATGTGTGTGTGTGTGTGTGTGTGTGTGTGTGTGTGTGTGTGTGTGTGTGTGTGTGTGTGTGTGTGTGTGTGTGTGTGTGTGTGTGTGTGTGTGTGTGTGTGTGTCAGGATAATCTCTGTAAACAGATCTCTGCAGACGGGGCAGAATCTGCCTTTTGAGTTTTATTGAAGTTGTTTTCGGTCGTTTCCTGTTTGAAGAATTCGATCCAAACTCAGATCCGACTTTCGAACCCTGACCGAGTTTTTAATCCACATTTCTTCTTCTGCGAATTTAATCCCAACAGAAGAGGATCCTGATGGTTCTGAACTGGGACACACTTCAGAAACAACATAATCCAGAAAATCTCTCCAGATTATCAGAATCTGAAAACACTGATGTAGAGCTGGGCGATCAATAAACTTCATTGATTAATTTGTGTTTCTTGTTTAGGATAATAAAGTTGAGATGTGGTCTTTCTGGGACTCGTCCTCCTCAGACGGAGTTTGTTTGTTGGTTAAAGCGTAAAGACCCCCCACAGGTTTCTTTGTTTTCTTCGTGTTCGGCGATCAAGTTTCCGATCTTTGAGGACAGATGAGAAAACAAAGAGTGAAACTTCATTTCTGAGGATCAGACACAGCAGCATTTTCTACGTCACAACCAAGCCCCGCCCCCGGCGCCCCACTATACAGGCCAGACCCCGAGAGGTAAAGAGGACTATCGCAGAATAAACGTGTAAGAAAGTGAATCCCCCCCCCCCCCCTTATTTCCCGCGGTCCATTGTTTTAGTCAAAGGTCCAGACTTCCTGTAGTCCTGCTCCAGGCTCCTTCGTGGTCTCCGGTCCTCTCTCTCTCTCTCTGTAGTCCCGCCCCCCTTTGTACAGTATCCTGCTCTCTTCTCGATCCTGCGCTCCAATAATCTGGTTCAGCGTCTCTTAAATAGCCTCCTCTTCAGTCCAGACACCCTCCACATACCACGCCATTGAACCTCAGCGGTATAAATACTCGCCGGCCGTCACACCGAGCCTGAAATAGTTCCTGTTCTCTGACCTCAGAGGCGGTGAGGGCGGAGTCATTGTGGGGCTGAATTTAAGGAGGGGCTGCAGTTGTAGACGGAGGTCCGAGTTTCTCAGTATGTGAGGCGGATGTTTGTCCGGCCTTGTGTCGCTGTTGGAGGACGTTAACCCCCGACCTCCACCTTCATCCTGATCGTCTCCTAAAAGGTCGTATCCTCCGATCGTAGCTGATCGTAACCATTCAAGTTAACGTGTCAATTTACACCGACTTCTGGAAAGGAAGTCGGGCACAGACACAAAATAAAACATCCGGCTTCTTTTCAAAATAAAACACTCCGTGTTTCAGGAGGATCGTATTTCACACCATGCAAACGGGCGGAGACGAACAAGTGAAAGGTTTTTAGACGTCATTTCACCCCGATGACACCATGGATGAGGAGATGCTGATTCTAGAAGTCTAGAAGTAGATTTCCTCCTCTGGAAGGACACAATCTACTGCTTATATGTCTATGTGTCTGTCTTTAGAGAGACAACTCGTTATCGGGAGATTGAACGTGAATCTGCGGGTTCTTGTGAGTTCTTGCGATTACCGCCGCCGTTCTGGACCGGAGCCGTTCAGGATGCGGTGATCATTGGAGATAATATATCAGTTACATCAGAAAGGCCGAATGAAAGGGAAGCAACAAAATCTCACGGTACGATGTCATCACGATGTTTTCGGAGTATTGTCCGAAAAAAAAGAGGACTTAGAAAAAAAGTGGCAGCTAGAAAATAAAGTTTAAAGAAAAACTGACTTTGTAATCGAACACAAACGTCACGATCAGAAGATTTTTTTCAACATCCATCGATTCAAAGAAACACGAAAAAACTTTAATTTCTGTCTTTAAACTGAAAATATAAACATTCAGTTTAGTCTCTTAAACTTTGACCCCACAGTCTAACCCGGTTTGGTGTCCTTCTCTGTCTCCTTTCCTTCACACCTTCAGTCCTCACACCTGAGTGTCACTCGCTCCTCTCTCACGGCCAATCAGACGCTGTTGTCGGAGTTTTTATCTCACGAGTTTTTAGCGCCTCAGAGTTAAATCTGCAGGTGGAGCGTCCTGCTCCGCCCTCGACCATCCGTCCACACAGACACACGGAGGCTAACAAATGGGATTCTGGGTAAAAAACAGATTATAGTGCACCAATCTATGTTAATAGATCTATGTACAGGTTACATAAATATAATTTATAAATATAAATATAAAAGTCAGATGATCCTGAAAAAGGACACACACACACGGGTTTGTTATTGTCTCCTTAGTCCTGTTCCTGGGGTCCTGATGGTCCAAATGGACCTCCACTCTGAGGTTTATGGAGGCGTACAGGAAAACGCCGCTGGTCAAATCCTGCAGGAGGCGGAGCCTGGAGTCGTGGTCATGTGTGTGTGTGACCCGGTCTGGTCGTGTGTCGCATTACAGTGATTCAGTCAGTGAAGCCCTGAGGATCTGTCTGAACGGATTACTCTAACAGGCTTAACATGGAGGGGGGGGCGGACCAGATCACTGCGGGGGGGGGGGCTGATGAGACACGAAAGAGCGAGGAGAGAAAAAGACGGCGTGGAGGAAAAAAAAACGTGTCTAAAAAAATCTGAAAGAAAAACAAAATAAAACGAAAAAAAAGAGAAAATTCAAAAATCCTAAAAACTGAAGATCTGGATCTTTGGATCTGATCGAGTCTCCGTGATCCTCCTCCTCCGTGATCCTCCTCCGTGATCCTCCTCCTTGATCCTCCTCCGTGATCCTCCTCCGTGAACCTCCTTGATCCTCCTCCTTGATCCTCCTCCGTGATCCTCCTCCGTGATCCTCCTCCTTGATCCTCCTCCATGATCCTCCTCCGTGATCCTCCTCCTTGATCCTCCTCCGTGATCCTCCTCCGTGATCCTCCTCCTTGATCCTCCTCCATGATCCTCCTCCTCCGTGAACCTCCTCCTTGATCCTCCTCCGTGAACCTCCTCCTCCATGATCCTCCTCCGTGAACCTCCTCCTCCGTGATCCTCCTCCATGATCCTCCTCCTTGATCCTCCTCCGTGAACCTCCTCCTTGATCCTCCTCCTTGATCCTCCTCCTTGATCCTCCTCCTTGATCCTCCTCCGGGGTCCTCCTCCTCCGTGAACCTCCTCCTTGATCCTCCTCCGGGGTCCTCCTCCTCCGTGATCCTCCTCCGTGATCCTCCATCTTTCCGTGTATCAAAAACACAATCAGTCAGATAAAGTCACTGATCCACCGAAGGTTCGCCGTCACACGCCGTCACACGCCGTCACACGCCGTCCTCTGCAGACCGTCCTCCTTCAGGACTCAGACCTGAAACTCGAACCTTCCTCTAACGGGGACGAGCCGCTCGCTCTTCTAAAACCAGTCCATCAGTCGCTCGGTTTATGATCCAGCTGAGGGCGCGCTCGCCGTCACCTGACCATCGCATGGCGCTCTTGACCTAAGGAACTTAACGCCGTGATTCTGCAAAGATGGAGGACTGAGCAGACCGTCAGGACGCCAAAGTATCTGAGGTGACTTTGTTCAAAGCAGCTGAGTCAGCTGATGGCGAGCTGCTCAGGTGAACGCTGACACCGCTAACATCAGACGTGCGAGCGCTGGTCGAAGGTTCGAGTTGAAGGCCGTGACAGAGACGTGGACCTGCTGAGAGAAAACCGCTGTCATGTCTGTCAGACAATGTCCAAGGGTCCCGGGGTCTTTGGGGGTTTCGAGGGTTTGGGGGTTTTGAGGGGACGGGGGGGGACAGCCATGATGGATGGTCTGATGGGACCTGATGACCTCCGAGGATGCTGGGAAATCCTGCTGACTTAAAGAGCGGTTCAGTGTCTCCAGCAGCGAAATCAGAAGTTGATCTTTGGAGGCGGGAGGCGCCGTTTCACCCCGCCCCCCTCCAGGTGACCTCTGACCCCTGGCTCCATATGCTCTCTCTATGTGAGACAAAAGGGGGGGGGGTGTCAGGGTTCTGCTCAGAGGGTTCAGGGTCTCAGGTTCTGGGTCCATGAAAGTCTAGATAACACGCCGACGTCTATGTTTGTATCTGTGCTCTCCACTTACACAACAGTGTGTGTGTGTGTGTGTGTGTGTGTGTGTGTGTGTGTGTGTGTGTGTGTGTGTGTGTGTGTGTGTGTGTGTGTGTGTGTGTGTGTGTGTGTGTGTGTGTGTGTGTGTGTTACGTCAGTGTGTAAATCCGCTTACATAACTCGGTTACTCAGCGGTAACTAAACGCCCCTCCATGTCAGATTAGACCTGACCGACTGTGAGACACTCTGGATTATAATTCAGACCCAGGCAGACGATCACAGAGCTCAGATCTATTTGTGTTGTATTATTGATTTTTTAGGGGGGGGTTAATCGATGATCAGAAACCTCCTGGGTGTCAAATCGTTTGAGTAAAATCAGAGATCCGCCGTCAGCTCTTCGCCTTGTTGGACTTTGGTTCCTCCGTGATTGAGCTCCAACTCATCAGCGACCTCTGACCTGTGTGATAAGAGACGAGTCAACAAAGCGATCAGAGCGTCTGAGCCGTAATCTCTGCGAACTTTGTTTGTTTTGAAGCAGAAAAATCAGGTTTGAGTTTCTGCTGATTTGTTCTGATTCTCAGTCCGGTGGAAATTAAAGCAGTGACGTTTGTAATGAAGCGACCTTTCTGTGACCTCCTGACCCCGCCCCCTCTGCTGCAGAAAAGGGGGGGGGGGGGGGCAGACTGTCCTGCAGAGAAAAGAAGAGAGAGAGAGAGAGGAGGCGGAGACTTAGTCAGACAAACACAAAACATCTGAGAGGATTTAATGATTAAACACAGCTGTTAGCATCATTAGCATCATTAGCATTATTAGCACTGTTAGCATCATTAGCACTGTTACCATCATTAGCACTGTTAGCACTGTTAGCATCAGTGGCGCTCAGAACGGCGGGGAATTGTCTCAGCCTGATGATGTCACAGCCACTGGTATTAAATCACACACACACACACACACACACACACACACACACACACACACACACACACACACAGAAAACAACCTCAGATTATGTAATCTGGCCGCCGTCGGGCTTGTTGGCGTGGATTAGAGAGAGTGAGCAGTCGCAGAGAGAGGACGTCAGAAACACCTGACAAAAGCAAAGGCTCATGGGAAAATGAAGGTTCAAATGTCGAGGTAGACGGGCAAAATGACCAATTAAACAATTTTAATTTTTTATCATAAATGAGGCCAAAATCAACTTTTTGTGTTTTTGGAGTTTTGTAGTTTGGGGGGAATTTGACGTTTGTTAAATATGAATATGAATATAGTTATAAATATTATTATAGTTATAAATATTGATATTATTATAATTATACTATCAATAAAATTATAAATAAAAATTCATATAGATATAAATACAAATATAAATTTAAATAAAAATGCAAATATAAATATTCACATGGAAATATAAACTGATTAAATTAACTCTGAAAGGAAAAACAAATCACCAACACCGTCTTTTAACGTTTTTTTTTTTTTTCATCATTTAATCATCAAAAAAAAATCAAAAATTATAAAAAAAAATGTTTAAATTAAGTTCTTAAAAACAAATTTTCAGGTCTTTATGTCCTCAGGTCCTCAGGTCTTCAGGTCTTCAGGTCCTCAGGTCTTCAGGTCCTCAGGTCTTCAGGTCCTCAGGTCCTCAGGTCTTCAGGTCCTCAGGTCTTCAGGTCCTCAGGTCTTCAGGTCCTCAGGTCCTCAGGTCTTCAGGTCCTCAGGTCCTCAAGTCTTCAGGTCCTCAGGTCTTCAGGTCCTCAGGTCCTCAGGTCCTCAGGTCTTCAGGTCCTCAGGTCCTCAGGTCTTCAGGTCCTCAGGTCTTCAGGACCTCAGGTCCTCAAGTCTTCAGGTCCTCAGGTCTTCAGGTCCTCAGGTCTTAAGGACCTGCAGCGTCTCAGTCGTAATAAAAACATGAACTCTTCAGTCTCTGCGTCGACTCGAGAGAGAAACTGAAACTATTTCTCAGGTGATTAAAAGTTCGATTCTTCACTTGGATCAAAAGATGAAACATCCAACCGTGTTTCTCCTAAATCTGCCTGAAGATGTTGGTTCAAAAACAAACAAATGAAACGTATTTAAATGACTTCCTGTCTGAACTTCAGGAAACAGAAGAGTTTCAGAGATAATCATGAATCTGAAACTTGAGAGTCAAACTGAAACCGTCTCTTTTCTGTGAATCTGTCCTCAGCTGACTGAGTCCAGCTGTGAGGCAGCAGATCATCTTCACTGAACGCACCGCTGAGTCAGTGCAGCTCTATCAATCACCGATCAATACGATCAGGATTGGCTCCAGTCTGACTGTAAAGATCGGACTGAGGACGTCTTTACTTGGAGATGTTTTAAACTGGACGACAGAGAAGATCAGATCTGCTGAGATCTGAAGTTCGCTCTGTCGTCATGGTAACAAACTTCTCCGACATTAATCTACGTCCAATAAAAAGCCTCCGTGTGGCTGAAGGGCTTCAAACTTTTCGCTCGAATCTCTCCAGAACTTTCTGTCAGCTTCATCTTTAACTCCAGATTTGAAAGGACATCTTCTGCTCGCGGTGTCGTCTTTTTTCCCATCATCCCTCTGTTCGCATTAAATCAGCCGTTCTGCTCGAAGGCCGCTCAGCCCAAGAGCTTATGCAACTGTCCTCTGTGTCCCGCTCACGCTCACGGCCATTTGGACAAACAATCTCCGTCTGTCACTCTCTTTAAATCCAAACTTTGGGATGTCTCTCCTGAGCACCGTCCTCAACCGTCCTCGCCGTCCTCGCCGTCCTCGCCGTCCTCATCAGCCTCCCTCACTGAAATCATTTGTGTTGGTGGTGAACAAAATTCATACTCATCATGTCGCTGTTTTCTGGAACAGCAGGGGGCGCTATAATCCAATCCTCTACATGTTTGTAGAGAAGTGAAAAGACAACAGGTGTGAAAATCCCAAAAACCTGAACTGGAGTTTTTGAACCCGAGGAAGTGAGAGGGTTTTTATTTTTAAGGTTTAGAGTTCAGCTCGGAGAAAATCAGAGAAAATCAGAGAAAATCGGAGAAAATCAGAGAAATCAGAGAAATCAGAGAAAATCAGAGAAATCAGAGAAAATCAGAGAAATCAGAGAAAATCAGAGAAATCAGAGGATCACGAGTCAGGGAGAATCCCAGCGTCTGGTGTATTTATGTGTATTTGTGTGTATTTGTGTGTATTTGTGTCTCAGACTTCAGGCTTTTATCGACTTCAGAGGATTTAAAACCAAATATTTAAAATTGAAAGTTTGATTTTAGTTTTTTAGTTTCGGTCTTTTTAAAAAATCACGTTTATAAACTTGTTTTTCCTTCAGCTGATTTGGACTTAAATACTCTGACATGTCTGCAGTTAAATGTACTGTATTTATATGTGTATGTACTGCATATATGTATATAAATATATAAATATCTCATGGTTTTGTTTTGGACCTGAGCGCTCAGATTAGAAAAACTCAGATCGTCTTTTTTTTGTTTTTAGATTCACTTTGTCGACTTTAACAGAACAGGAAGAAACATCCACAGCTGCTCTGACCTCCTCTCTCCTCCTCTCTCTCCTCTCTCCTCCTCTCTCTCCTCCTCTCTCTCCTCCTCTCTCTCCTCCTCTTCCTCCTCTCTCCTCCTCTCTCCTCCTCTCTCTCCTCCTCTCTCTCCTCTCTCTCTCCTCTCTCCTCCTCTCTCTCCTCCTCTCTCTCCTCCTCTCTCTCCTCCTCTCTCTCCTCTCTCCTCCTCCTCCTCGTCTCTCACACCTCCCTGCCTGGCGTCTCTTTGTTCGTGTCTCTCTGTCTCTGATAATCGGCGTCTTCGTTCTCCTCGTCTTGGTTTGACGTCTGTTTCTCTCGCTCTTCGTCGTCTTCCCTCGCTCAGACGGCTCAGAGTTCGGCTTTAACTGACAAAGATCGTGTTTTACGTCCTCCTCATGTCCGACTCTGTAAACTCCAGATTAAGTCTCAGATGAATTTCCTGTTTTTTTAATCTCCTCTCAAACTCTTGAACTCCGATCTGTTTCTCGACGTTCAGCTCGGTGTTTTCGTCTCATTACTGCGTTTTTAACGATTTATTAGAGAACAGCTGTTTTAGTGTCCCAACATAAATCTGACAAAGAAGAGAGTCAACACGCTGGACCAGGACGTTTATATGTCGCTATGGTAACTGAGCTGTTATACTCTACAACCAATCAGAGGCCGTCAGCTGATCCTCCTCACAGAAATAAAAAAAATTAAATCATAAAAAAAATCAAAATAAACTTTTTTAATTTCAGCAGAAAATTCTAGAAAAAACTTTAAAACCTTTTAGTGTCTGTGTGACCTCTGTGTGACCTCTGGATGACCTCTGGATGACCTCACCATGAACCAGCTGAGAGCCTGAATGACGAACTCTGACAGTAAACTCGCCGTTTATCAAACTCGCTCTCATCAGACACGTCATCCTCATGATCTCAGCTGCTGAGAGACACACACACACACACACACACACACACACACACACACACACATACAGACACACACACACACAGACACACACACACACACACACACACAGACACAGACACACACACACAGACACACAGACACACAGACACGCAGACACACACACACAGACACACACACACACACGCACACACGCACACACACACAGACACACACACACACACGCACACACACACAGACACACACACACACACGCACACACACACAGACACACACACACACACACACATTCTGCTCTAATCTGTCATGTAAAGATAATTTGTTATGATTAAGAGATTAGGAGGGTCGTTAGCTGCTGTAGCTGTTAGCTGTTAGCTGTTAGCTGCTGCCAGCGCCTCAACACCCCCCCCCCCCCCCCATCTTGTCCTGTTGCCAAGGCGACAGATGGGGGTTACTCCTGCTCAGTCAGTGCCAGGCGTTGGCAGCCGAGCTCGGAGCAGGACGTGCCAGCTCCTTTCAGCTGTGTGTGTGTGTGTGTGTGTGTGTGTGTGCGTGTGTGTGTGTGTGTGTGAAGGGGGCGGGGCTTCAGGCCGGCTGCCCGGTTGCAGCAGGTGTTGTTGGTGTTGTTGGAGTTGTTGGAGTTGTTGGAGTTGTCCGTGGATCTCTGTGTTCAGGAATGTTTCAGCGTTTTCGGAAAAGCCGATCTTCGGAGGTGAAACTTCGGCTGCTGAAGAAAAAATCAAAAGACTGATATAAATCTTTCTGTTCCTCTAACTTCTCCTCTTATTGATCTGTAGACAGTTGACTGATAGGATTTGATCAATACGCTGATTCTGGTAAAACTTGGATACTTTTTTGTTACCATGGCAACAACGTCAAACTCCTGAGCGTGCTCAGTTGGGTGTCTTTATTATTACAGCAGAAATCGAGTTCATCCATCCAGGAGTTCTTAACAGGTATAAAGATATTTTCAGGGTTCAAAGGTGAATAAATAAACACGAGTCTGTCGGTGATGAAAGTTTTTACAGGATATGAACGGATTAAACATGAAGGTTATAAATATGAAGGTTATAAACATGAAGGTTATAAATATGAAGGTTATAAACATGAAGGTTATAAATATGAAGGTTATAAATATGAAGGTTATAAACATGAAGGTTATAAATATGAAGGTTATAAACATGAAGGTTATAAATATGAAGGTTATAAATATGAAGGTTATAAACATGAAGGTTATAAATATGAAGGTTATAAATATGAAGGTTATAAATATGAAGGTTATAAACATGAAGGTTATAAATATGAAGGTTATAAACATGAAGGTTATAAATATGAAGGTTATAAACATGAAGGTTATAAACATGAAGGTTATGAATATGAAGGTTATAAACATGAAGGTTATAAATATGAAGGTTATAAACATGAAGGTTATAAATATGAAGGTTATAAACATGAAGGTTATAAATATGAAGGTTATAAACATGAAGGTTATAAATATGAAGGTTATAAATATGAAGGTTATAAACAGACGATAAATATGATAATATGACGGATGGATGATCGAGTCGAGCAAATGAGGTTTAAAAATAAAGATATAAAGAGCAGGTGAGAGTGGAGAGAGGTGGTTCAGTGTGTGTCTGTGTGTGAGAGTGTGTGTGTGTGAGAGTGTGTGTGTGTCTGTGTGTGTGAGTGTGTGTGTGTGAGAGTGTGTGTGTGAGAGTGTGTGTGTGTCTGTGTCTGTGTGTGTGTGTGTGTGTGTGTGTGTGAGAGTGTGTCTGTGTCTGTGTGTGAGAGTGTGTGTGTGTGTGTGTCTGTGTGTATGTGAGAGTGTGTGAGAGAGTGTGTGAGAGTGTGTGTGTGTGTCTGTGTGTGTGTGTGTATGTGTGTGTGTGTGTGTGTGTGTCTGTGTGTGTGTGAGAGTGTGTGAGAGAGTGTGTGAGAGTGTGTGTGTGTGTCTGTGTGTGTGTGTGAGTGTGAGTGTGTGTGTGTGTGTGTGTGTGTCTGTGTGTCTGTGTGTGTGTGTGTGTATCAGGATTTTTCTGTAAAACAGTCTTCAGTCACTCAGACAGCTGCTTAAAAAATGAGGATATTTAGTCGAGTGAAAATCAGAAAGAAAAACAAACTAAAGAATAAAAGAATCAGTTTCCACTTCGTCTTCGTCCTCCTCTTCGTCGTCTTCGTCTTCTTCGTCTTCGTCGTCTTCGTCATCGTCATTTTTCTTCGTGTCTCCACATGATCGTCTGCAGGCTCTTTGTACCCAGCATGCATCACTGCACTCACAGATGACCACGACTGCCTGTTGAGATTCAGCAAATTCACAGACTGGTGCACGAGACGTACCAACCCCCCAGGGACCGCGCATGATAACAGACACACACACACACACACACACACACAGACACACACACACACACACAGACACACACATGCGCACACACACACACACACACACACACACACACACTGTCTGCATGTTGATGCTGCAGGTGAGAAATTGTCTCTCCTGGTCGTCTGGAGACAAAAACTCGGTGATGTGAATCTGGAGGAGGAAACAAAGCCTGTCAGCTACACACACACACACACACACACACACACACACACAGACAGACACACACACACACACACTATAATAATAACAATACTAAGTTTATTTGTATAAACTCTGACCTTACACTCCGTCGTTCCGTCTCTAACCCGGTCGTGAAGTTTCTGTAAATTCAGACGAACCTGAAAAATCACCTGATCAGTTTTTTTTGTTTTGGTTTTTACAGAAATTTTCCTCCTTTTGTCTGAAAATAAGAAGCTGCAGAGATTTAAAAACATCTGAACGTCCTGAACCTTCAACTGTTGGAAGGAATGAATGTTTATGTCGGCTCATGAGAAACAGGACGGTCTTTAGGGGACAGTTTTCTGCAGACAGAGAGACAGACGGATGGATGGATGGATGGATAGATAGATATATAGATGGATAGATAGATAGATAGACTTTATTGATCCAAACTGGGAAGTTCACGTTCTCAGGACCGACTCTGCTCTTTAGTTAAACTCAGTTTAAAGAGCGTCACAGAATTAAAGTGTCGTTAAGCTCGTCTTCTGACGGAGCGTTTCTTTACAACCCTCCCTCTAAACCTCCTGTCTGCTTTCTCCTCGCTCAGCTCTTTTCCTGTTTTGCATTTCAATCTCTCGCCGTGGCGGCGTTGGTCGTCCTCGGCGGCTCGATTGGACCCTGAACACGCTCTCGTTTAGTCTTGAGCTGCTTTGTCAGTCCTGTGGTTTCCCATGACAACCAGACACCCCCTCCATCACGAGGAGCGAGGGAGAACAGATTGATTTACTCCTCTCTCAGACTGATGAAGGAAAACCCTTTCAAAATAAGAGCCACGAAGTCGTCCGTCTGACTTACGTTTGAAAAACTGTCGAATATTTACCGTCGAAGGAAAAACCAGTCAGTGACATTTAAATGTCAGAGGCATCGAGGCAGCGCTAAATATGAGCCAATCAGAGAGCTGGATTTAAACATCAACAGCATCCAATCAGTGTGAGAGCGTCAGTCAGTGAGCCAATCAGAGAGCTGGATTTAAACATAAACAACATCGACTCAGTGTGAGAGCGTCAGTCAGTGATTTACAGACTTTAGGATCATTACAGTCAGACCTGCTTCACTGTGTCTGTCAGTGAAATCTGATCACTCCTGAAATGAATCAACTCTGCAGATATGACTGAAACAGTCAAACACTGAAACAGTCGAACACTGAAACAGTCGAACACTGAAACAGTCAAACAGTCGAACAGTCGGTGTTTCAGAGATCAGAGAAACCGATAACAATAATGCCGACAGAAACACAAAAAAAGGGGATTTTGACTTTCTCTCTGGAAACACAGAAATAAGAGCGAACACCTGCGGGTCTGCTGACTGACTGTTTTACACTCTCTAAAAACAGTCTGTAAGTGTCTGTAGTTCACCTTTAAAACTGTAAAAACAGTCTGTAAGTGTCTGTAGTTCACCTTTAAAACTCTAAAAACAGTCTGTAAGTGTCTGTAGTTCACCTTTAAGACTGTAAAAACAGTCTGTAAGTGTCTGTAGTTCACCTTTAAGACTGTAAAAACAGTCTGTAAGTGTCTGTAGTTCACCTTTAAAACTCTAAAAACAGTCTGTAAGTGTCTGTAGTTCACCTTTAAAACTCTAAAAACAGTCTGTAAGTGTCTGTAGTTCACCTTTAAAACTCTAAAAACAGTCTGTAAGTGTCTGTAGTTCACCTTTAAAACTGTAAAAACAGTCTGTAAGTGTCTGTATTTCACCTTTAGAACTCTAAAAACAGTCTGTAAGTGTCTGTAGTTCACCTTTAAGACTGTAAAAACAGTCTGTAAGTGTCTGTAGTTCACCTTTAAGACTGTAAAAACAGTCTGTAAGTGTCTGTAGTTCACCTTAAAACCTCTAAAAACAGTCTGTAAGTGTCTGTAGTTCACCTTTAAAACTCTAAAAACAGTCTGTAAGTGTCTGTAGTTCACCTTTAAAACTCTAAAAACAGTCTGTAAGTGTCTGTAGTTCACCTTTAAGACTGTAAAAACAGTCTGTAAGTGTCTGTAGTTCACCTTTAAGACTGTAAAAACAGTCTGTAAGTGTCTGTAGTTCACCTTGAAGACTCTAAAAACAGTCTGTAAGTGTCTGTAGTTCACCTTTAAAACTCTAAAAACAGTCTGTAAGTGTCTGTAGTTCACCTTTAAAACTCTAAAAACAGTCTGTAAGTGTCTGTAGTTCACCTTTAAGACTGTGAAAACAGTCTGTAAGTGTCTGTAGTTCACCTTTAAGACTGTAAAAACAGTCTGTAAGTGTCTGTAGTTCACCTTTAAGACTGTGAAAACAGTCTGTAAGTGTCTGTAGTTCACCTTTAAAACTCTAAAAACAGTCTGTAAGTGTCTGTAGTTCACCTTTAAAACTCTAAAAACAGTCTGTAAGTGTCTGTAGTTCACCTTTAAAACTGTAAAAACAGTCTGTAAGTGTCTGTAGTTCACCTTTAGAACTCTAAAAACAGTCTGTAAGTGTCTGTAGTTCACCTTTAAGACTGTAAAAACAGTCTGTAAGTGTCTGTAGTTCACCTTTAAGACTGTAAAAACAGTCTGTAAGTGTCTGTAGTTCACCTTAAAACCTCTAAAAACAGTCTGTAAGTGTCTGTAGTTCACCTTTAAAACTCTAAAAACAGTCTGTAAGTGTCTGTAGTTCACCTTTAAAACTCTAAAAACAGTCTGTAAGTGTCTGTAGTTCACCTTTAAGACTGTAAAAACAGTCTGTAAGTGTCTGTAGTTCACCTTTAAGACTGTAAAAACAGTCTGTAAGTGTCTGTAGTTCACCTTGAAGACTCTAAAAACAGTCTGTAAGTGTCTGTAGTTCACCTTTAAAACTCTAAAAACAGTCTGTAAGTGTCTGTAGTTCACCTTTAAAACTCTAAAAACAGTCTGTAAGTGTCTGTAGTTCACCTTTAAGACTGTGAAAACAGTCTGTAAGTGTCTGTAGTTCACCTTTAAGACTGTAAAAACAGTCTGTAAGTGTCTGTAGTTCACCTTTAAGACTGTGAAAACAGTCTGTAAGTGTCTGTAGTTCACCTTTAAAACTCTAAAAACAGTCTGTAAGTGTCTGTAGTTCACCTTTAAGACTGTGAAAACAGTCTGTAAGTGTCTGTAGTTCACCTTTAAGACTGTGAAAACAGTCTGTAAGTGTCTGTAGTTCACCTTTAAGACTGTAAAAACAGTCTGTAAGTGTCTGTAGTTCACCTTTAAAACTGTAAAAACAGTCTGTAAGTGTCTGTAGTTCACCTTTAAGACTGTAAAAACAGTCTGTAAGTGTCTGTAGTTCACCTTTAAAACTGTAAAAACAGTCTGTAAGTGTCTGTAGTTCATCTTTAAAACTCTAAAAACAGTCTGTAAGTGTCTGTAGTTCACCTTTAAGACTGTGAAAACAGTCTGTAAGTGTCTGTAGTTCACCTTTAAAACTCTAAAAACAGTCTGTGTCTGTAGTTCACCTTTAAGACTGTGAAAACAGTCTGTAAGTGTCTGTAGTTCACCTTTAAGACTGTGAAAACAGTCTGTAAGTGTCTGTAGTTCACCTTGAAGACTGTAAAAACAGTCTGTAAGTGTCTGTAGTTCACCTTTAAGACTGTAAAAACAGTCTGTAAGTGTCTGTAGTTCACCTTTAAGACTGTAAAAACAGTCTGTAAGTGTCTGTAGTTCACCTTGAAGACTCTAAAAACAGTCTGTAAGTGTCTGTAGTTCACCTTTAAAACTCTAAAAACAGTCTGTGTCTGTAGTTCACCTTTAAGACTGTGAAAACAGTCTGTAAGTGTCTGTAGTTCACCTTTAAGACTGTGAAAACAGTCTGTAAGTGTCTGTAGTTCACCTTTAAGACTGTGAAAACAGTCTGTAAGTGTCTGTAGTTCACCTTTAAGACTGTAAAAACAGTCTGTAAGTGTCTGTAGTTCACCTTTAAAACTGTAAAAACAGTCTGTAAGTGGTTCAGCTCTTCAGAGTAAATTAAGAAAACTCCAAAATAAAATGTCTCGTCGTCGCTGTGAACTGACCTGTTTTCTTCGGTGTTTGTGTGTTAGTGTTTGTGTTTGTGTGTTAGTGTGTCTGTGTTTGTGTGTTTGTGTTTGTGTGTTAGTGTGTCTGTGTTTGTGTGTTTGTGTGTTTGTGTGTTTGTGTTTGTGTTTGTGTGTTAGTGTGTCTGTGTTTGTGTGTTTGTGTTTGTGTGTTAGTGTGTCTGTGTCTGTGTATGTGTGTTTGTGTTTGTGTGTTAGTGTGTCTGTGTCGTCTTTCACAGTGTTTTAGCTTCTCTGGAAATAAAGAAATAACAGTATCAGCTTTAGTGCAGCTGCAGACCTGGATTTACCGACTGGAAGCTGAGTCGACCGTCTGATGAACTCATTTTTTACCTCACATGATCAAACTTAAACTTAAACTTTAACTCAAACTCAAACTTAAACTCAAACTCAAACTCAAACTTTAACTCAAACTCAAACTTTAACTCAAACTCAAACTTTAACTCAAACTCAAACTTTAACTCAAACTCAAACTTAAACTTAAACTCAAACTCAAACTTAAACTTAAACTTTAACTCAAACTCAAACTTAAACTTAAACTCAAACTCAAACTCAAACTTTAACTCAAACTCAAACTTTAACTCAAACTCAAACTTTAACTCAAACTCAAACTTTAACTCAAACTCAAACTTAAACTTTAACTCAAACTTAAACTTAAACTTTAACTCAAACTCAAACTTAAACTTAAACTTAAACTTTAACTCAAACTCAAACTTATACTCAAACTCAAACTCAAACTCAAACTTATACTTATACTTATACTTAAACTCAAACTTAAACTTAAACTTAAACTTTAACTCAAACTCTGATCCAGATACCCCCCTGTTTTCTTCGGTGTTTGTGTGTTAGTGTTTGTGTTTGTGTGTTAGTGTGTCTGTGTTTGTGTGTTTGTGTTTGTGTGTTAGTGTGTCTGTGTTTGTGTGTTTGTGTGTTTGTGTGTTTGTGTGTTTGTGTTTGTGTTTGTGTGTTAGTGTGTCTGTGTTTGTGTGTTTGTGTTTGTGTGTTAGTGTGTCTGTGTCTGTGTATGTGTGTTTGTGTTTGTGTGTTAGTGTGTCTGTGTCGTCTTTCACAGTGTTTTAGCTTCTCTGGAAATAAAGAAATAACAGTATCAGCTTTAGTGCAGCTGCAGACCTGGATTTACCGACTGGAAGCTGAGTCGACCGTCTGATGAACTCATTTTTTACCTCACATGATCAAACTTAAACTTAAACTTTAACTCAAACTCAAACTTAAACTTAAACTCAAACTCAAACTCAAACTTTAACTCAAACTCAAACTTTAACTCAAACTCAAACTTTAACTCAAACTCAAACTTAAACTTTAACTCAAACTTAAACTTAAACTTTAACTCAAACTCAAACTTAAACTTTAACTCAAACTCAAACTTATACTCAAACTCAAACTCAAACTTATACTTATACTTATACTTATACTTAAACTCAAACTTAAACTTAAACTTAAACTTAAACTTTAACTCAAACTCTGATCCAGATACCCCCCTGTTTTCTTCCCCCCCCCCCCCGTATCTAACACTGTTAATCCTGATGATGGTTCTGGAAAGTTCTGTCTCAGACCCGGGTCTGTGGTGCTCGGCTCTGATCTTGATGTGGTCTGTTCGTTCATGCTCTCATCCTCATGTATTCATCTGCTTGTTTTCTGTCTGCGTTGTTTTGACGTCTTTTCATCCTTTTGTTTTTGCTCTTTGTGTTTCTGCATGCGGCTCATCTGTAGCTTTGTACCGCTGGTTAGAGGCAGACCGCCAAGGCAAGGACCCCGACGCTGCTGCAGCCACAGGTACGGTACAACGCCATCGACTCACTCATCCTCATAACTCTCATCATGACCTCACGGCGGCGTCTGCATGTACGCTCGCTTCACTCAGCTGCTCCTCGTCCGTCTTTAGAGGTTTACAGAGTTAGTGAGTTTTCAGCGAGGACACGGGTCTGAGTCTGACTCCGCCCTCCTTAATAACCCCCCCCACACAAACACACACACACACACTTTAAGGTCTTTAAAGTCTCGGTTCTGTAAATCAGAAACTGTTTGGTGTTCAGGTCTGTCGGAGGAACAGGAAGTAACAGAGGAAACTGACCCCTCCCCCTGACACACCTGTGACTCGCTCTTCCTCCACCTGGATTACCTCCCTCATCCTCTCATCCTCTTAACCTCCTTTCTCTCCGTTCTTCCTTCAGTATGTGGGTCAACTTCTCCTGAGCTCCTTATCCAAACCCCTCCCTCTGCTCCGAATATCTCTACCTTCATCCCCCTTCTCTTCATCCTCACCTTCATCCCCCTTTTCTTCATCCTCACCTTCATCCCCCTCATCCTCATCCTCACCTCATTTTTCTTTTTTGTCGTTTATCTCGCTCATGCTCAGGATGTGAAGACGAGCAGTCCTCCTGCGGCGTAAATAATTCGTCTGTTTCTGTCTGGAAACTCGTCCTCCACATGAACAGAACAAAGTCAGAAATCAGAACGGAGGTTTTGTCCACAGGGGGCGCCAAAGTCAACATAAACAGAAAGTTTGTCTCTGGAGTTTAAAAGTTTAATCTGTATTTAAATCTCTTCGTTTTAAAACTTCGTTCGCTGTCATGAATCCCACTCTGATTTTTATATAAAGTGATGTCATTTTGAGGCCACGCCCCCGAACGCCAGGGCGGCAGAAAGTTCGGCCGCTTCTTTAGTGAACAGAGAAATCTGAATTCACCCCAAAAGACGCAGGATTCACTCCTTCATTCAGGAAAAAAGATCAAGTTTGGATCATTTTTCAGGACGAAGATTCGAACTCGCTGATGTTTTCGGGTAAATGGACGTTAGTTGTTCTGTAAACTCCAGTCAGGTGACGCTGAGACTGCCCCCTGCTGGATGAAGTGATTCAGACATCTGTGAGTTAAAATTAAAGAGCGAACATGAACGTTTTTTGACATGAAGGTTCTCGTGGTTCTGATGAGTGACCGTCCTTCAGGACGACAGAAAACCATCTCACTAAAAAAATAATATATATATATAAATGTCAATAATAATGATAATAATAATCATAATAATAATAGTAACTCTTCTTAAGTTCGTGAATATTCTCAAACGGGTCGATGAAGAATAAAGTTTCTCTGGTTCCTGTTAAAATTCAGCCCCTTTATTCTGATTGGTCCAGTGAGGCGCTCAGACCTCAATAATCAATGATTTTAACGTTCAGAACGATCGGCTCGCTCCTCCTTCTTCATCCTCGCTGACCTCCTGACCTCTGTGTGCAGGAGATCCACCAGCTCTCCCAGTAACAGAAACCAGTCTGTCATCTGAAACCAGTCCAGGTTTGTCTTCACCTTTAGCTCAGACTGACTGGGACTGAAGGTTCTGATTTAACGGACCGCAGAGGCTCGTCAAATCAGAGCGGCAGAATTGATCACAGTCGACTTTGGGCTCTCCTGATTGGCTCTCCTGGGTCTAAATAAAGTTAATTATCTGATAATTTCACGATGGTTGGGAACGGAAAATCAAACGCAGTGAAAATCGATTGAAATTTTGATTTTTCTGTTGAAGAGACGAAAAGTTTCTCTGCAGCTCCGACCCGAAGTCCTGAGAGACTCTGACCCGCTGAGACCAGACAGCTGTTTGGTCATGTGACTCTCCACATGAGTTCAGCTTTAGATACAGAAACACCCTGACTGCAGGGACGACAGCTGTCTGCATGAACACATGAACACATGAACACATGAACACATGAAAACATGAATATAACACATGAACACATGAATAAAACACATGAACACATGAATATAACACATGAACACATGAATATAACACATGAACACATGAATATAACACATGAACACATGAACATATGAATATAACACATGAACACATGAATATAACACATGAACACATGAAAATAACACAAACACACTAACGTCTGAAAAGGAAACTGAATTTTTTTACTCAGAGAAAAAACGACAAAAATAAAAACACAGAAACAAAA